GAGGTTGTGTCAGCAAACCTCTATAAACCTCCCTGGCGGTATGATGTCAGGAATTTTGTGCCAAAAGCGGTACAATTTTTTGCATGGAAATTTGGTGTTGTAGGCCTGCAATTCTTAGTAATTACTTACTTAAACCTGACCAAGCAAGACTTTAGTAGACATCCCAGAAGTGATAAAGTTTGAAACACAAAAACACATGAATTATAATTTAATAAATAATATAATTTTATTCTATAATGTAATAAAAAATAATGAAATTTGTCAAACAAAGAAAATTCAATAAACATCCTGAGCGTGATAAATTTTGAAACATGGGACTGCACAAAGTCTGACGTCACAATCAGGACAATGGAACCTGGTTTCTTTTCGGCGTTTCTTTCCATTGCCATCTCTCTTTGAGCAGCAAACTACGCACATCCTGGTAGGTGCTGCCTTTTTTGCGGTTGGCGGAATGTAGTCCATAAAGTGACGACCAGTCAGGCGTTCTGGCTTGACAACGTCAACAGCACAACGTCCAGGTCTGTTTTGTGTAGTCCTCTCAGATTACACTGTATCAGCTCTTATGTGTGTTTCACTTTTGAATTTGCCGCCCAGTTCCGCTCCCATGCGCCGCTGCTGCTCGCAGGGAACGGAACCAGGAAGTCAGATGCCGGCTGGCGATCATGGCGGAGGACATAGATCATTCTCGCCGGCGATCATAGCGGATGACATCGCTGGATCGCCAGGAGAAGGTAAGAAAACTCCGCTGACAGCTCTGCAATGTTACCCCGAGCGTGACTCGGGGTTACCGCTCCTGGCAGAGAAAATTAACCCAGAGTCACGCTCGGGATTACAGCCAGGGAGGTTAATATAGAAAATAACCCATGTCTTGTTTTTACTTGATCGTCATCTCTGGACTTGGATCACACTTTTGAAATGTCTACTGCCCCCAAAGAACTCCGGGCTACTATTTAATCTTCATTTATATTCACATATTGCCTAGATGTTGACGAGCCTTCTGGCTGGACACCATGGATAACCGCAAGTTTTTGCCCTGATTGAGTGTCTCACCCCATGTAATCTGCTGGTGTCGACATAAAATATCCAGGCCGGGGCATTTTTTCCTCCAACTGCCTGTCACTGCCAGGGCATTTTATCTTCCCATTGATCACCAAGGCACTTTTTCCTCCTACGGACAACCAACACAGTGGTTTTTTTTTAACTTCCACTGACAACCAACACCATTGCAACTCCATGGACATTGACAAATAGGCACTCCTCTCCTGCAAATATTGCTCACCATCATGCCCCTAAAGTACTCCTTTCCTGCACCTACTGGCTCTTGTCATAACTAACACAGTCTTCCCTGCACATAATGCCTGCTGTCATATCCTCACACACTTCACTTTTGCATATACTTCTTGCTGCTCCAGTATGCCACATCTGCACACACTGCCCATGGTCATAACCACCACAAGGCTCTCCTGCACACATTACGTACTGTCACATTATCCAGCCCTCCTCCCCTGCAGACATAGCCTGCTCTCCTGCACCTACTGCCCCCTATCATACCCTTCGACATGCCACTGCACTCTCTAAAACCCTCCAATTACCTTTCCTGCAGACAGTGCTCACTAACATACCCGCTAGCACTCCTCTCATGTGTATAAAAGTTTAATTTCCTCCTTCACATGGTTTCTACTTAATAATATTTGTTTAAAAAAATAAATTAAAAAAAATGTAAAACGGTTTACAAAATACCCAACTTTTGGCTAGTATGTATTAAGACAACACAGTGTTATATTTATAAAGCAGTAATTGTGACTTTCACTACAAGGGAAAGCTCCAGTTCAATGTTTTAAGTGACTAGTTCACTCAACTGCAGTGAATATTTGGTCAATGCAGCATTCATTGCTTTATAAATATACCCATCCAGTGTTTTGTTTTAACAAATGCTCACTTTAAGGTGGCCTGTTTTATTTTGAAGAAAACCTGGTACTTCTACATTTTAAAAGGAAATGTGAGCGACATTTCCTTTTTTTAGGGGGGG